GACTGAGGACAGAGCTTCACAGCTTCTCTCTGAGAGGTTACAGACACTCAACCTGCAGAGAAGTTCTTTGGTTAGTCAATCAAAATATCAAATGAACAGTAAGTACATGCAAGCTGATAAGGTGGACATTTGCATGAACAAGTCCTGACCTGAGAGTTTCCAGTTTCCAGTGCAGAGTCTCTAAACCACTACACAGCAGCTTCACTCCTGAATCCTGCAGGATGTTGTTGCTCAGGTCCAGCTCTCTCAGACTGGAGGACTGGGAGCTGAGGACTGAGGACAGAGCTTCACAGCTTCTCTCTGAGAGGTTACAGCCACTCAGCCTGCAGAGAAGTTCTTTGGTTAGTCAATCAAAATATCAAATGAACAGTAAGTACATGCAAGCTGATAAGGTGAACATTTGCATGAACAAGTCCTGACCTGAGAGTTTCCAGTTTCCAGTGCAGAGTCTCTAAACCACTACACAGCAGCTTCACTCCTGAATCCTGCAGGTTGTTGTTGCTCAGGTCCAGCTCTCTCAGACTAGAGGACTGGGAGCTGAGGACTGAGGACAGAGCTTCACAGCTTCTCTCTGAGAGGTTACAGACACTCAGCCTGAAGAGGATTCAGAAGAACACAAATGAAAGCAATTAAAAACAATAGTTGTTATTTCTGAATAAAGAGAACTACATTAAACCTGGATAGTTATGTGGACACATACAGAGCTTTGTTTGAAGCTTTGATCACAGGCAGCAGCCTCAGAAGAGCCTCCTCTGAAGCAGAGTATTTCTTCAGGTCAAACACGTCCAGATCTTTTTCTGATGACAGTAAGATGAAGACCAGAGCTGACCACTGAGCAGGAGACAGTTTATCTGTGGAGAGACGTCCTGATCTCAGGGACTGTTGGATCTCCTCCACTAGAGAACGATCATTCAGTTCATTCAGACAGTGGAACAGATTGATGCTTTTCTCTGCAGACAGATCCTCATTGATCTTCTTCTTGATGTACTGGACTGTTTTCTGATTGGTCTGTGAGCCACTTCCTGTGGGTGTCAACAAACCTCGTATGTGATTCTGATTGGTCTCTCGAGAAAGACCGAGGAGAAAGCGGAGAAACAAGTCAGGTGTCCATTTGGACTCTGTAAGGCCTGGTCCACAGCACTCTGATATAGAAGTCTTGGGTCAGGTCTTGATACTTCAGACCTGGATGTTGTTTGTTCTTCTGACATCAGATTAACTCCAGAGTTGATGAAGGTCAGATGGACATGAAGAGCAGCCAGAAACTCCTGAACACTCAGATGGATGAAGCAGAACACCTTGTCCTGGTACAGTCCTCTCTCCTCTTTGAAGATCTGTGTGAACACTCCTGAGCACACTGAGGCTGCTCTGATATCGATGCCACACTCTGTCAGGTCTGAGTCATAGAAGATCAGGTTTCCTTTCTGCAGCTGCTCAAAAGCCAGTTTTCCCAGAGACTCAATCATCTTCCTGCTCTCTGGACTCCAGTGTGGATCTGTCTCAGCTCCTCCATCATACTTGATGTTCTTCAGTTTGGACTGAACCACCAGGAAGTGGATGTACATCTCAGTCAGGGTCTTGGGCAGCTCTCCTCCCTCTCTGGTCTTCAGCACATCCTCCAGAACTGTAGCAGTGATCCAGCAGAAGACTGGGATGTGGCACATGATGTGGAGGCTTCTGGATGTCTTGATGTGGGAGATGATTCTGTTGGCCTGCTCCTTATCTCTGAATCTCTTCCTGAAGTACTCTTCCTTCTGTGGGTTAGTGAACCCTCTGACCTCTGTCACCCTGTCAACACACTCAGGAGGGATCTGATTGGCTGCTGCAGGTCGTGTGGTTATCCAGAGGTGAGCAGAGGGAAGCAGTTTCCCCCTGATGAGGTTTGTCAGCAGCACATCCACTGAGGTGGACTCTGTGTCATCAGTCAGGGTCTCGTTGTTTTTAAAGTCCAGAGGAAGTCGACACTCATCCAGACCGTCAAAGATGAACACAACCTGGAACTCTTCAAACCTGCAGATTCCTGCTTCTTTGGTTTCAGGAAAGAAGTGATGAACAAGTTCCACCAAGCTGAACTTTTTCTCTTTCAGCATATTCAGCTCTCTGAAAGTGAATGGAAAAGTGAACTGTATGTCCTGGTTGGCTTTGTCTTCAGCCCAGTCCAGAGTGAACTTCTGTGTTAAGACTGTTTTCCCGATGCCAGCCACTCCCTTTGTCATCACTCTTCTGATTGGTTCATCTCTTCCAGGTGAGGCTTTAAAGATGTCTTCTTGTCTGATGGTTGTTTCTGGTCTGTGTGGTTTCCTGGATGCTGTTTCAATCTGTCTGACCTCGTGTTCATCATTGACCTCTCCAGTCCCTCCCTCTGTGATGTAGAGCTCTGTGTAGATCTGGTTCAGAAGGGTTGGGTTTCCTGCTTTAGCAATCCCCTCAAACACACACTGGAACTTCTCCTTCAGGTTAGATTTGAGTTTACATTGCACTGCACCAAACGTTCCTGAATAAAGAAAGAACTGAAATCACTGAACAGATCCTGATATAGATCACATGACTATCTGAGTTTGGAATTTTAAACCGTTTTGTCCTTTTTCTAAAATACTAAATCTGTTAAAATGTTCTTACTGCTCTGCAGACAGTCAGCCAGCTCCTCCTGCTTCATTCTCCTCAGGAAGTGGAGAGTGATCTTCAGAAAATCCTCTCTACAGCTTCTCCCCTGCTCTTCATCCTCACTCTGACTCTCTAAGCATTCTGGGTAATCTGGACTCAGAACCCTCTGGACTCTCTTCAGCTCGTTCTTCACAAAGGTGACGATGTTCTCCTCCAGCAGCTGGAACAGAAGGAGACACTGGATATTTAATATAAACTGGTAGAACTCAACATGTGATTCATCTGTCAGTCTGAAGGTCAGCTGGTCTAAACAGAACAATAACTTAGCATTAAATTATTGTAATGATAGTAAATTATATAACAGTGTGTTGAGCAGACCATAAAGATGGAGTCCAGGTCTGTTGGATTCTGCTGGTCTGATTGATCTCTGTGAACCTCTGAGCTCTCCTGTTGAACTCTGTGACACAAGAAAACAATGCGTCATATATTATGAAGCTCTGAACCAAGATATGAGTCTTTAAACAACAGAGTCAGAACATTAACTTCACTTTCACATCTCACCTTCCATCAGCAGGAAGTCCATCTTTAAAGTTAATAAGGCGATCAAAAGACTGGTCACTCTTCATGGACACACAGCTGGGTCCAGGAGAGTCTGGTCTCTGTCTCTTCATCCTGATACAAACAAACAGCTGGTTAATGAAAGCTTTTAGAACAAAGATCATTTTTAATCAGATTGTTCCAGTTCAAACTAGCAGATGGATAATCAGTGATCAGGAGGCAGAGCTGAAGTTCTCCACAGCTCTCTCTGTTTCTATTAGAACAGTATCTCACTCAGAATACAGACAACACTGTGTCTGTCCTCAGATTCTTTAGACTGATAGAATCAAAGTTAACAGAAGAAGACTCAAACATAAACACAGCTCAGAAAGATGACACCAGGAACAATAAAGGTTAGAAGTCCAACCTGCATTTTCAGAGAGAAAGAACTCAGGCTAGCTACAGACAGATGTTCATGAAGATACTACAAGTGGCCACCAGGGGGGGCAGAAGGACAACCTGAGAGAGTGAGCTGTAGGAACAGGAGACTGGCTGGACCTCTGAAAGAGAACCATGAACAAGCCGAGGCCAGACTGTTTATTGGGAAACAGGAGCAGGTGAGGGACAGACTGTGGACTGAAAACAGATGTTGACCAGGCTGTCGACGTGGAACGAGGCAGGATTGGTGTTTGGTTAAAGGACTTCTTCTGTGTCCCCCACATGAAAATAACTTTACAATTCATATTCTATAACTTAAAAGAATATCATCTTATTAAGTATGTTTAGTATTAGAAAAGCTTATATTAATAAAATACAGTATATCTAACTTTGACTTAATTAGATATTCTGGTTAACATCGAGCTAGATTGAACCTGAAAGGAGCTACAACAATGGTTTATCATATCTCAGCAGAGGAACAAGATTGTTTTCTTTATTTTGAGGATAAGACCACTTAGAGAACTTCTGGATTCAAGAAAGTTCAAAAAGGACACAAGTTAAAGTTTGCTCATAGAGAGCAGGAATCCTTCCTCTGTCTCTGATGATTATAAAAGTGTTCTTGTCCTGAATACTGGACTCAGTGTAGTTAATGAAGCATGTTATGACTGTGGCTCTTATGTTATGAGCTTTCTTATTGAAATGTGTCAGTGTAAATTGTTCTACCACCCTGCTGAGGGTTGGTGCTGTTGTCTTTGTCACGTCTCTCTCTCTCTTTGTGCTGCAGGTGAGTAGGATAGAGGGGAAGGTCTGGGCTGTTTAAAGAAGAGAAGGAGGTGTATTCTGAGGGCCTCTGGTGGAGAAGTAGGAGAAACAGGAGGAAAGTACTGGGAGAGGTGAACATGGACTGAAGACAGGAAGTGAGAGTGATGTAAATGTCTGAGGATGAAAGAGTTGTAGAAAAGCAGAACAGAGCTCTTTGTCTGTGCTGCCTCTGACAAAGAGCTGCTAAACTGCCTTTCACTGTTTTTATAGCAATGACATTAAAGATCTATTCTTTTATTTTCTGTTGTAATGATCCGAGGGATAATTAGAAAAAATATGACCTCTGCTCATCAAGCTCCATCTTTGAAATCAGCTGCTACTCTGTAAACTGGATTTCTATTTAAAGAAACACAAACTCAGTGATATGGTTTATCATGATGAGTCTGATCACTCAACTCTTTGACTGGTGAACACTGTGATGTCACTGCTGAAACAATAAACTGATGAGTCCTACAACACATCATGAAGCTCTGAGACAAGATATGAGTCTTTAAACAACAGAGTCAGAACATTAACTTCACTTTCACATCTCACCTTCCATCAGCAGGACGTCCATCTTTAAAGTGAATAATAAGATCTTTAGACCAGTCACTCTTCATGGACACACAGCTGGGTCCAGGAGAGTCTGGTCTCTGTCTCTTCATCCTGATACAAACAAACAGCTGGTTAATGAAAGCTTTTAGAACAAAGATCATTTTTAATCAGATTGTTCCAGTTCAAACTAGCAGATGGATAATCAGTGATCAGGAGGCAGAGCTGAAGTTCTCCACAGCTCTCTCTGTTTCTATTAGAACAGTATCTCACTCAGAATACAGACAACACTGTGTCTGTCCTCAGATTCTTTAGACTGATGGAATCAAAGTTAACAGAAGAAGACTCAAACATAAACACAGCTCAGAAAGATGACACCAGGAACAATAAAGGTTAGAAGTCCAACCTGCATTTTCAGAGAGAAAGAACTCAGGCTAGCTACAGACAGATGTTCATGAAGATACTACAAGTGGCCACCAGGGGGGGCAGAAGGACAACCTGAGAGAGTGATCTGTAGGAACAGGAGACTGGCTGGACCTCTGAAAGAGAACCATGAACAAGCCGAGGCCAGACTGTTTATTGGGAAACAGGAGCAGGTGAGGGACAGACTGTGGACTGAAAACAGATGTTGACCAGGCTGTCGACGTGGAACGAGGCAGGATTGGTGTTTGGTTAAAGGACTCCTTCTGTGTCCCCCACATGAAAATAACTTTACAATTCATATTCTATAACTTAAAAGAATATCATCTTATTAAGTATGTTTAGTATTAGAAAAGCTTATATTAGTGTTAGTGTTTAAATTAAGAATGCTTGTTGTACCTTCATTTAAGACAAATTCACTATTTTTCTGTGAATTTGTTTTGACTAATTATTAATCTTAGATTAAACGTATACATTCTTAAAGTCAGCTCATTAAGAGACTAAAATACTGAATTTAAGGAAGTCTAGCTTTCAGAACTGACCTTTGATTGCTTACAATGAGAACAGCTTCCTTAGACTTAAACCCACCTCCTCCCTTCCACCTCCTCCCTGACAACATGCAAAATATAGATCATGAATTATCCTATTTATTAATTAAAAATCGAATTATGGAGGAAAAAAAATTAAATTTAAATTTGACAAAGTACAAGTAAAGTAGAAAACATGCTAATAACTTGTAAAAATAAAGCAGTAGGTGTTCATGGCCTTGATGGGAAACTCCTTCAAATGGTTGCTGATTTGATAGCCCCTGCAGTTTGTCACATTATTAACCAGAGTCTTAGTGAGGGTTTATGTCCACAAGGATGGAAAATTGCCAAAATAAAACCTCTGCCCAAAAATGTGAAATTACCATTCTCTGGATCAAATAGTCGTCAGATAAGTTTACTGCCTGTTTTAAGTAAAATAATGGAAAGAACAGTGAGTGAACAAATTAAAGGCTATTTCTCTTTGAATGATTTAACCACTGACTTTCAACATGCATACAGAGAAGGGCATTCAACAGCTACTGCTCTGACTCAGATGACTGATGATTGGCTGAGAGAAATAGAAGAGTAAAATGGTGGCAGCTGTCCTTCTTGATTTTACAGCAGCATTTGACATTATTGATCACAAATTATTAATACAAAAATTAGAATGTTATGTCTTTTCAACATGTGCATTATCTTGGATGGAGAGCTATTTAACTAACAGAAACCAAACTGTTTTTTTTACTGGGAGCTATTCAGATGTTAAAAAGGTAAGGTGGGGAGTGCAACAAGGAAGCTGTGTTGGTCCATTGCTTTACACCATTTTCACAAATAACTTACCACTTGTCTTAAATGAGGCCAACATTTCAATGTATACTGATGATTCAACTATATATATGTTGGCATTCACAGCCAATGAGTTAAACACAGTTTTATATTCAGAGTTACGATCAGTGGTTGAATGGATAAAGAAAAATAAATTGGTCCTGAATCTCTCAAAGACAAACAGCATTATATTTGGGTCGAATTATGTTCTGAGCAGAGAACCAAATTTAAATCTGTGTATAAACAATGTGTCTATAGACCAAGTGCAAGAGACTAAGCTGCTGGGAATGATCTTGGATAGTCAACTACCATGGACTCGACATATAAATAAAGTTGTAGCTAAGATGGGTAATGGTCTTTCTGTTATTAAAAGATGTGCCAGATTTTGAACACAAAACTTAACTAAACAGGTAATCCAGGCTTTAATATTGTCCAATCTTGACTATTGCCCAGCAGTATGGTTTAAAAAATATGACCTCTGCTCATCAAGCTCCATCTTTGAAATCAGCTGCTACTCTGTAAACTGGATTTCTATTTAAAGAAAGACAAACTCAGTGATATGGTTTATCATGATGAGTCTGATCACTCAACTCTTTGACTGGTGAACACTGTGATGTCACTGCTGAAACAATAAACTGATGAGTCCTACAACACATCATGAAGCTCTGAGACAAGATATGAGTCTTTAAACAACAGAGTCAGAACATTAACTTCACTTTCACATCTCACCTTCCATCAGCAGGACGTCCATCTTTAAAGTCAAGAGGGAGATCTTTGGACAGGTCACTCCTCATGGACACACAGCTGGGTCCAGGAGAGTCTGGTCTCTGTCTCTTCATCCTGATACAAACAAACATTATTAGTTACTGTGAGCAGCAGATGAGACAGTGATGATGATGGAGTGAAGGACATGGAGAAGAGTCATGGACACATAGTGTGCGTCTGAATTTTCATTTTTTCTTAGGAAGGTTCCTAACTGAGTGAAATGACCCGGAAGCGTTTAAGTGGCGGCCATGATAAGAGCCGTTTGAATTCTCTAAAATCTAAGGAAAGGTGGGTCAATGTTTCCTTTATAACCTCCTTTAGGATACACTGGACCATCCTTTACCAAAGGAGATGAGATATGGCGTCCCACAATTCCTTGTGGCCGCAACATTTAAAGCAAGTCGCCCATCCGACCGTTCAGGAACATTAACGATGATCGTGAAGAGATAAAAGATAAGAGACATTTTTATCAGAGGATGTTTTATTCAACATATTTCATTCTCTTGCTTTGTGCTGCTGTACATTTGTATGTTTAAAACATTATGTGTAGGTTATATCTTACATTAATGTAACAATTCATTTCATCCAATCATATTGATGTTGATGTTGATTTCTGATTGGACAGGAAGCTGATGGTTTCACTTTTCTTACTTGTAGCCTGGTAGTCTATATTTCTTTTATTTCAATCCCAACCTCGTGGTGATCAGGATTATTTCACCGGTAAGAAGCACAGGGGAAAGTTTTTTACATGATCTTTTTGTAGTCCATTTTCTGAACATTGTAGTTTCAACACGGCAGACCCACGTCATTAACCTCCGCCGGTCCGTCGCATTTAATGACGTGGCCTAGTGGAAATGTGGTCGGATTGTCAGAGAACGAGATCTCCTTTCCCTAAATCCTTTATGACTTCTCCTAACATCTTTCCTTAACCTCATGACGTTTTAAGGTGAAGTGGATAGTGAAAGGAGATAGGAGGGACAATTCAGATGCACCCTTAGAGATCCTCATCTCACCTCAGAGCTTCATGTTCCTCACACAGAGAGGTTTTAGAGGGAGGGACCCCCTCCTCTGTGTCCTCACACTGATCCATAGCAGAGCGCCCCCTGCTGGAAGAGCTGCACTCTGTCACAACAACAACACTGATGGAGTTCAGCTGCTGAAGTCACATCCAGTCAAAGATCTTCAGCTGTGGAGAAAACAGTAGAAAATAAAAAAGTGGCTGTCAGATTATCAAATAATAATGATAAACGCTGGTTGGAGGACCCCCTTTGAAATTTTGCCTAGGGGCCTAAAAGACTCGAGGATCTCCATTGGTTAGATCAATCTGACACAGATATCTGATTGGAAGGAGACATTCATTAAGAGCTGATCATAGAGAATAACTACAGCAGACAGAGTTTGTCTTTATAAATCTATCTACTAGAATCACACACTCTGATTTCACTGCTGTGATTAAAACATAGATCTGCAGAATTAGGCCTCTGGTCTGTGCTGATCTCTGCTGCTGGTGCAGAGGAGTGTTTGTGTTGAATTAAACAGAGTTTTCAAAACAGTAAAACTGTCTCTTACCTTCAACACGGAGAACAAAACTGCGTCACAGCTGGAGAAAGTAAAAAGTCCCGTCAACAGGAAATAGAAGAGGATGTTTCACCTGTTACCTTTTCGTCAGCTTCGTCGTCCCTAACTGTAGTTCTGGAAAGCTGTTTGTCTCGTTTAGGTTTGTAACCAGCAGTCCGTGTTTATTATACACAAAGTAGGAAGAGAGACGGTGTACATTTTCTGAACCGGGTCACTTCATTTTCAGACACCTGTACCTGTACACACCCTCGTACCGTAGCGGAAGACTCATATGTCACAACTTCCGAGCGCCTACATTACCCATAAGCCACCTTCTTAAAGGGACAGGCTCAGGCAGGTAATACACCATGGCAACGTGGTTTCAAACGTCACAGCCTTCATTGGAGATAAGAGTGATTAAACATTTAATAAAACACTGATGATGATGATTCAGTTCTACTCCTTCAATCTGAACTTCATGAGGGCAGAGAGGTTCAAATCTTCCTTCTACAGTTGGTGTGTCTGTGAGGTGAATAAAGGTGAACCAGGTGAATAAAGATGTCCACCTGTTGAACTCCACACTTCCTCCTCCTTGTTGTCACTCTGTTCTTCTATTAAACTGTAACACCAATAAAACTTATCCACTCTGAAGTTGCTCTGTGATATTTTCCTCCACAGTGTAATGAATTAAAAAAGTATGAAAAGTTAAACTGTAGACAAACATGATCAGTATCTGTAATCTTCATCTTTTTGACCGTTTAATTAAAGTTAAATATTTATTCTCTGCTGGTCTTGATGTAATCCTCATTTCAGAATAAGCAGGGCTCCAGTGTGCTGTACCATTGAATGACTTTATCACTGTGTGTCTGTGTCCAGCAGAGGGCGCTGTTTGCTAACATTACAGCAGCTGCTATCAGAGTCTGTGCACATCAGAGAAGCTGTGATTGAAATGTGTTGACCTGTTTCAGGTGACACATGAAGGTTAGTGTGACGTGTAGGACGACGTTTCATCACATCCTGTTGTCTGATTCTAGATTTATTAGAAACCGAGGCGGAGACGTGTTCGCTTTCCTGGGTCTCCATAAGATTGATGATGTCATCACTGGGGTAAAACCCCCTGTAGGGTTTTTCTTTTCTGAGAAATGTTTTCTCTGTTTTCACCTCTTGCATATTTGAGCTTTTAGTTTGTTGTAATTGAATTGTTTAAAGTTCAGTTATTTGAGTGAATGAGATAAGGTTGATTAAAGGGTTCATTTTGATTTCTTTGTTGTAAGAGAAAAGCGTAAACCCCTCCAGCTGCAGCCAGTTTGTTAATGGGCCGGTCTATAAGGCGAGGAGAGCAGAGAGGTGAGAGAGGTACTTTGAAGTTAGTGATATCGATACATTCAAATCATTGTGAGGAAACATTTTCAAACCTGCCCACTCAACATCCACACCTACTGGCAGAAGCTGTCATTGTTTGTGTTGAAGGCTCCCTTTTCCCTAAAGACCCTGACTCACCAAGCAGACGGCAAAGAACTAGTGACGCCTGTGCCGTCGCCTCACGTCTTGGCCAAAAAGTTGCACTTGAACACACCGCAAAGACTACAGCCAACCACCACGTACGTTCTGCACATGTGTGAGAGGAAATACCTCTCCATGCCAGCAGGGGGCGGTAGTCCGTTGTTTATGATACAAGAAGACCATTTTCACCCCGCTGTCGGTCACCACTCGTATTATAGGTCGTCTACTAATGGAGAATAATGTCTGATTAAAAGGTGAAAATGGTGCTGGCGTTGTCAGCTCTTGGTCTTTTAGTGAAAAAAGAAAAGAAGAGGAGGAGGAGACAATGCTCAAGGGGCTTTCCTGAACCTGAGAGGAGAGCTGGAGAGAAATGAAACCTCCCAACAGCCAATCAGAGAGATCCGTCTCATCGACCACTGACGCAGATGTCGAAACAGCCAAACAAAGGCCGACGGCGGGCGACGGAGCCGGACAAACTAGAGCGATGACCGCTCGCCGACGGTCCATCTAGAAGTTGAACTTTTGTTGTTTGTGTAAAGTGAACACGTGTGGTTCATTCGCTGTCTGCTGAGACGCCTTCCGTCTTTCTGTCACTGCTCGCCACGTCTTCAGGTGTAGAAACACTCGACGACCGTCTGACTTTATGCTTCTCGTTTGCTGTCGTTGCCATGGTGATGTCAGTTGTGCTTCCTGCTTCAGTTAGCTTGCTTCCTGATTGGCTATTGTTCCGTCCTCGGCGTTCTCTCCACACAGCAGGATTTTGTAAATCGGGGGCGGCCCAGATCGTCATCCGTGCAGATCGGGGACGTTACGATCCCTCTGAACACGCCTCACGCCACCGGAGCATCGGGCAACATCATCTTTGGAACCATCACATAATAAGAGGGGGATCGATTCTCTTGTATCCAGAGTCACTTAAAATGGACTCAATCGCTAAGAAATGGATTTATCTCCACAGAGTTTGCGTAAAAGTTTTCGCACGATGTATAAAATTGTGAATATGAACATCTTTGTTTTTGAGAAGATTTCTATGATTCCAATCACTAGAAATCACTAGTGGTCATTAGTGATCATTAGTGATCGCTAGTGATCGCTAGTGATCATTAGTGGTCACTAGTGATCACTAATGATCATTAGTGATCGCTAGTGATCGGTGATCATTAGTGGTCACTAGTGGTCATTAGTGATCATTAGTGATCGCTAGTGATCATTAGTGGTCACTAGTGGTCACTAGTGATCATTAGTGGTCACTAGTGGTCACTAGTGGTCACTAGTGATCACTAGTGGTCACTGGTGATCACTAGTGGTCATTAGTGATCATTAGTGGTCATTAGTGGTCACTAGTGGTCATTAGTGATCACTAATGATCACTGGGGATAGAAAGGGTAAAGCCCTCCATAAGCAGGCCTGGTGTAGGTACCGGATGAGCTCGGGTGTTCAGATCGACTCGGGGTCCTGCGCCTGTTAGTGAAGTCACACAACATGATCGAAGAGTTTATAGTTTTCACGGTTTTGTCGGGTCTTTGAACACAACAGTGACCGCCCACTGACAACAGGACATTTAATTCGGCACTAAAACAACATTAAAAAATGTCAAAAAAAGATAAGACTGTGTACATGATTTTCGTCCAAAGTCAAGGAACTACACATCCCATAATCCATTGCGAATTATATCGTGTCTTCTTAAGAGAAACTTTTGTCGTTGTTATAGTTTTTATACTGTTAGTAAGTGTTGTACTATCTTGTAGTTTGTGGAAAATATAAACTACATCAACGACATGATGAGGTTATTAGGCTAGTACATTTCCTGTTAGCTAACTAACCAGCTAGCCTGCTACCGGGACTTATCTGTTGACATACGGCGCCAAGGGGCAGGAAACATTGCCATGGTAACAGCAGGCTTAACCAATCAGAAACACTCTATGATCGTGGGAAGTGTAGTACTATGCCCCGATATCGCAAATAAAACTTCAT